TTTTGGCAAGTAAAGCGGTGGACACTATGACAGCCAGGAAAGATGGAAGGGAATACATAAGGAACAAAGCATAACAAAAGGAAATAAGGCAGAACTAGAAAATAAATAACAAAACACAGGAGCAAAGACAGGGAAGATGCGAGAGAAACAGAGTATATAGGGTTATGGATATGGAGGGAGAGAGCATAGTAAGTCGGGAAAATGAAAATGGGGGACACTATTGGTTGGGGGACAAATTATGTTCGTCCCCGAGCATATCGGGAATGAGTTATACCAGGAAGGATTCTTGGAGGAAATGCTCTTTTAAGAGTTTTTTTTGCAATATTTGGGGTTGTTTCAGCAACTGAGTTTTTAATTTTGTTTGGGAGTTCGCTCCATAGTCTTGTAAGGCCTGGGTAATAAGAATTTGCTCTAATATCGGTCCTACTAGACATTCGTTTGAAGTTGAGTGTTTCGAGGTATCTGTTGTTGATGGTTAAGTGGCCCAGAACAGAGTGGTTGGGTTCTGAGGAATGGAGGTTATTAATGCAATGGGTTAATGAAAGATATTTAAACTAGACATTCGTTTGAAGTTGAGTGTTTCGAGGTTTCTGTTGTTGATGGTTAAGTGGCCCAGAACAGAGTGGTTGGGTTCTGAGGAATGGAGGTTATTAATGCAATGGGTTAATGAAAGATATTTAAGACGGTTTTGGATGGACATGAGGTTTAATGTTTGCAGACGAACGGGGTATGGGGGGGCAGTTCTTTTACTCATTTTCAGGATCATTCTAGTGGCTTTCCTTTGAATTCTTTCGATTTTAGAGCTGTAAGTCTTATTAAATGAGAACCAAACTGGAGCACAGTAATCAATGTGGGGTCGAATAATTGAACAGTAGAGTTTCAGCAGGACATTGGGTTTGCAATCTTTAGCTATAAGGTATACGATTCCCAGTAGTTTTGCACACTTTTGAATCAGTTTTCCTACATGTAAGTTCCATGATAGATTGCTGGAGATAGTTATGCCTAGTTGCTTATGGGAGTCTTGAATAGTAAGGAACCTTGATTTAAGAATAATTGAACAGTAGAGTTTCAGCAGGACATTGGGTTTGCAATCTTTAGCTATAAGGTATATGATTCCCAATAGTTTTGCACACTTTTGAATCAGTTTTCCTACATGTAAGTTCCATGATAGATTGCTGGAGATAGTTATGCCTAGTTGCTTATGGGAGTCATGAATAGTAAGGAACCTTGATTTAATATGATTCCCAATAGTTTTGCACACTTTTGAATCAGTTTTCCTACATGTAAGTTCCATGATAGATTGCTGGAGATAGTTATGCCTAGTTGCTTATGGGAGTCTTGAATAGTAAGGAACCTTGATTTAATTGCATAGTGTGGTGGAAGATCTTTTTTTGAGTTTCTAATACATGAAAGAATGTAAGTTTTATCAATGTTTAGCTCCATGTGGTTAGTGTCACACCACTCTGAGATATTATGAAGGTCCAATTGAAAGAGGTTTTCATCTAGGGTTGATTTTATGGAGGATATGAGTAGAGCATCATCTGCAAAGAGGTAAGGGCTGGAGGAGACTGAGAGGGGCAAGTCATTAATGAATAGAAGAAACAAGAGAGGGCCAAGAATGGAACCTTGGGGGACTCCAGATAATACTTCCAGGGAAGTAGAGCATCATCTGCAAAGAGGTAAGGGCTGGAGGAGACTGAGAGGGGCAAGTCATTAATGAATAGAAGAAACAAGAGAGGGCCAAGAATGGAACCTTGGGGGACCCCAGATAATACTTCCAGGGAGGGAGAGAGATGGCCTTGGTAACTGACTAGCTGTTTTCTGTTAGTTAGGAAGGATTGTATCCATTGCAGTGTAGAACCTTTGATTCCATACATAGATTGTAGCTTTATCAGTAGAAGTTCATGAGGTAATTTATCAAAAGCTTTGCTGAAGTCAAGGGCACAGAAACCTATTCTGCGAACGTTGTTATCATCATACAAAGTTGTCACTCTGTCCCAAACATTTAAAAGTTGATCTAAAGTGCTGCGACCTTTCAGAAAGCCATATTGGTATCTGTATATTAGAGTTATTTTGCAGGTGTTTGGTTATTCTGATGACAAGTTGAATCAAGTTAGATCTAAATTGACTTGTTTCTTGAATATGAACAAGTTTTTCCGCTTTTCCGAGAGCTATGTCGCGAGGAAAAAAAAGAGACCCCCAAATTAACGCGAAAGAAAAGTAATTAATTTCTCTCTTTGCGCGAAAATCTTTCCAATTGGAATTTTGGAGCGAGCAATGGCGTAAATTGACTGAAGAGTCGGGAAAGGAGGGGGGGGGGGGCAGCATAATGGGGGCACCAAACCCGACCCGAGTGATTCTAGGGGAGACCCCCTCCCCCCCTCCTGCCCCCGTAAAATACTTCATCGGGAGCAAGACAAATGGGAGTTTATCACGGGCCTGAATCGAGTTCATCGCTCCATCCCGAAGCGGAATATCATACCATGTCCACATCGAAGAATATGAGAACCTTTAACAATATTTTAATGAAGCATATCAAAGAATAACACGCAAAAATAAGCACCATCGACCCATGGAATTCGTTTTCCTCATTCGATTTTGACCCACTGCATCAACTAGGCTAAGGAGACGTAGAACGAAAGCCTGAACGCTCCGAGGAAACAAACGATTCCTACAATGCGGGACAAATAAGTCGATCGTGACTTCTTGAATGTCGACGAGCGACGAAGTGCCGTCGAGACGACGCACCAGAGAACCGAGGTAGCCTGCGACGCCGCGCTTACCCCAGTGCGACATGGCAATGGACGGACAGCCAATGACATCTGTGGAAGGCAAGGGGAACGAGCAGCCGAACACGAGATCCCGCACAGCCAACGACATCTGTGGAAGGCAGGAGGAACGAGCATCCGGAGCATGGCTGCCCCGATGCCGGATGGTCTCGAGGTACACCTCCTCGTCTGATGTGCTGAACGACGCCCCACCGCCTTTACGAATCCTTCTCGTGTATCAGTTGGGAAAATGGCAGGAACGAAGAAAAAGCAAAACTCTTCTCCGAACGGTAATTGATCTCACTTCAATTACGCAGGGGCCGAGTCAGGAAGCTTAAAATTTTTATGCGGCATAAATAAGATGTAACGTCAAGCCGCAAGTCACCCGCGAGAAGCGCAGCTCCAGATGTGATGCAAAGTATTTGATTTGATTGACAGGATCCAGAGCGACGTCGGACTCATCGGTCGATTTCCTGGTGCTGCAGAAGTTGCGGGATAAGACACACGTGAGAACCAAACCTTTCCCTCCTGTCCTGGCCAACTCGTTTAAATCAGGCCTTATGTTATCCGGCATCGCATGACGTTGCTCGACACCGGTCGATCTCGTTCCATTTAGCATCAGAAGAGCGATGTCTTATTTTTTCAGGCATCCAGAGCGATGCTGATCGAACAGCTGAACAAGGAGCTGACCGAAATGGTGGATGAATGCTTCACTGACATCAGCAGCCTCTCGTCCCGCAACGGACGATTGGAAAGTCCCTCCTCAGACGTCCTCTACACCAACAGGAGGTGACTTATCGCAAGCGATGCATAAAACCTGTGATTTCTCTCTCTGACACCCGTTGCTCTCGACAGGTTCTCCACTTCGAAAGCGGGCCAGAACGTGCTGCCGAGCAAGCAGTTCGTCCCAAGAGACTCGTTGTTGACCGAGCTATTTCGCATCAACCACTTTCAGACCATCTTTCACATCTTTACGGCAATTCTCGTGATCCTCTTCATGGACAACATTCTCGCCGATCTCCTCGGAGAGCGAGGGCAAGTCCCGTTCCGTCCCCTTCCGCTTTGGTCTTGAGATCAAGGACCTGACCATGCATTCTCTTTTGTTTCAGGATAAACTTGAGGTTTGATTTGTTCTTCTATACATTTGGGAATTTTCTCACCTCACTGGGCATCTGGTTATCAATGATGTGCTCCACATTCTTGATTTACCCTGCTTTCCACTCGTGGGCATCCTCAGACCTCCCCAGAAGTAGTAAGGATTACTTCATGCCTGTTTTGTAATCTTTATCTTATCTTTCTGAGGGCTACTATGGTTGCACAATCAACATGTATTTATTTGTGTCATTAGGATCCTGGAATATAGTATTTCTGTGCATATTCATTGGGTATTTGGTGGCCTTCATTTACTCTCCTGTTTATCACTTGCTGGACAACAATCTTCCCCCGGCATCTTCTGCCATCGTGCTCATGGAACAGGTGCCTTTTCTATTCATTAATTCTGTTATTTGATAACAGCATGTAATGATGATTTATTCAAGATTTAATAGGGACTGTTGAGCAAAGTATCCAAAGATCTCTTTTGCAAGAATAGCAAGAAAATTAATATTCTTGTTAGCATGGACTTTGTCAAATGGAAGCCTCTGTTATCTCAAATTCCCCCAGCACTTGACCTTGTTGTTGTGATACTATCTCACATAAATACTATCTCTCATTACAAATACTATCTTACATTACAAGAATGGAAAGTTTCCTTTCATGCCCTTTCCCATTACACCCCCTTTCATTGCTGTATTTTTCAAATTCATTTCCCCTCCTCCAGGGACTTCAATTAAAGGCTTTTTCTTTGCTTCTGAGATGTGAAACATATTTTTCTTTCCTGGATTGTGAAAACTTCTTTGGATGCCCTATGTCAAAGTCCATCAAGTCAGTTCTTTGTAGACCTTAATATATGATGAACTTGCACACCTTTCCCCTTTATTGGGATAAGGATCCATCCAGGCTGTTCATACGATAATAAAGTACATTCTGAAATAAGTAATTGGCCAATCCAATGAGAAATAATATGCTATCTTGGCTGGGTGTGGGGTCACATCACACAATCTAGGAGATAGAGCTTTAGACTTCAGAGAGAGTTGAGGAAATTACTTGTCAGACTTCTGGTTCTTGCTGGAAAAGTCTGAGAGGGAAAAAGGAAATCCTGCATTCCTCAAAGGTATCACAATGCACATGGAACAGAGGATTGTTGAGGATCATAGGTTGCTCGAACACATCTTAGACTCCTGCTACAAACTGTGAACAATTATAAGGGATAAGCAATATTCTCTTAAAATTATTAGCAATCTCTTATGAATTCCTTTTGGAGTCAAGTAAAGCTTCATACATAAATTTAAATGGTAAAATTCCTGATTTAGTACCATTATGTGGACATTCTGGATGTCTGGCCTGTTAGGATTCAGAGAGGAATGTGTTACTCGCACATGCTGCATCAAAATTTATTCCAATTATCCAGATACCTCCTACTCCCTTTCATCTGAGGCCTAGGCTTCAAAACTTATTTGTCTTGACTGTTAGGCTTATTCTGAAGGGAAATCATGAGAGGCTGACAATCCCCTCTCGTGTATATATGCATTATCTGTTCCAAGGGGCAGATATACAACCAATCACTACAATTTCTTGATATTTCAGGTGAAAGCTGTGCTGTAGGTTATAAAATCAAGAGTTATACAATTCGCATTAGGAACTTTCTCCAGAGAAAGAAGTGGTAGTATAGTGCATGTTAATTATATTATTATTTCATATTGTTATTGAATTGGCATGTTCAATAATTCCCTAAATCCCACATGTGGAAATTTTTTATAATTAAATAGGAGAATATCTTGCCTCAGATTCATTTTAAAAATCTAAAAATTAAATTTTTCTTCAACATATGTATTGTACAAATATTCAATTTTTCAGGTACTCGCAGTACCTATTGGTTCCCCAGTTACACTGTGACAGCCTCTAACCACTCATCCTAAGATAGTGCCATATCTTCAACTTAGATCAGGGCTGATTGCAACCCAAAATATGACCTAGGGGTTGCCTAGGTCATATTTTGGGTTGCAATCTAGCAACTAAATGCTAAATTCTGTTTTTCTTTGCAATTTTAGCACATAGGTGGGGAGGGCCTGTCAAACATTGGTCAGTGTTTGGGGTGCTGAATGGTATTATTGTAATTTTTGGAGTCACTTGTGGAGAAGGTTGGGAACTTAAATCATCTGAGATATGAAGAAAATACACTGCACCTTTTACATATGGGAATAGTCATTTAGTTGTTTGTAGGATTATGGCAGCCATTCTACATAGAGTGATGGAAGAAAAAACAAATTGAGGTAAAAAGTAAAAAGGGGAAGAAGTGTAACTTGGAAAATGACGAGCATCTGTATCTACCTCTTGGACTGGATCATCATGTTTTTGCATGAGAATCCGGCTTTGTCATCAACATGCCATTGCATTTTGTGTGAAATAAACTGAGCTGCTAATTTGAGTCAGTGCACTTTAGATTGCCTCTGCTACTTAGGGGTCATTCTGTGTCAAATCAACAGTGTTAAAAGGTGACTCTATTATTTGAATGAAATTTGACTGGCTTATTTGCACCTATTAGAAAGTGACTCATGACAATTTTTGGAATAATTTGACTTTTAGTTCCTCAGTTATGAGGTCATGAAAATTCAAGCCAAAATGCTGAAGGCATACCAATGCATGTATCATAGGTTGTATATATGTCCTGTTTCTTTAAAAGGGTTAAAGGACCTTGCTATGATGTACTCTTGGCTCATCAGATTTGTTAGGATTAGAAGTTGAAGGAGCTGGACTCTGTGGATAAAGGAAATGAACAATAATTTTCTGATTGTCTTTAAATTTCTCAAGAACATATGCAAAGTACCTATATCCACCCCATTTACATGTCACAAACCTTCTGATGCTAGAATATGGGATCTCTACTAGAGTGCTATTTTCTCCACCTGCCTCCTTCAAATAAACAAATCTTTTTCCTCAAGAGTGAAGGTGTTTACACTTTTCAGTGTCCTATGGCCACAGAAGTAAATTCAGGTATTCTCCATAGGAACATATGCTTTCAGGAATTACGTATTTCTTAAGAATTTTGATTAGCCTTATAAATATATAGCTCAGTAGTCAATGTCTTTTGAACAATAAATATTTAAAAAATCGAAATAAGTTTAATGCTGATTAAAATTCTCTATTTTTTTTTATAAATAAAGAACTGCATAATTATTTTTTGTGGTGCTCACCATTTTCAGCTATCATCTTGACAAACTTCACATGTCTATTGAAGACAACTGTTGTTTTGCACTTCCAAGAATAATAATAATAAAAACCTTCTTTTATATAGGTGCAATGCTACATGCACAGCCTTTGTGTGCATGAAATAGAATCAGATTTAAAGTGCTCATTTTTACATGGAATTTAATGAAAATAATATCAACTCAGTTAACCCTTAAATGACCAAGCAAGGTCAAATTTGACCCAGAGTCTATGTTATAACACACAAACTTCAAGGCTTGGTAGTTTAAGGGTTAAATGGATTCCCATAGGTCCCAATTATGAAGAGGAGTATATTCTGTTTAATGGATTTCATTCAAACAGCTTAGAGCTGTTTGCATGAAATTATACCAACCAAACCACTGGCTTACTTGCCCCTTGGGGTAGCTGAGCCAGTGGCTTCATTGATAATGTGCTTGTCTCCCATGACAGGGTATGCAGGTTTGAACCCAAACAAGTCCTATTTTTAATTTCCAAGTGCAAGCCCCAGCATGCTTGGGAAGGGAGAACCCTAAGCACTTAGCATTCCCATATAAGGATGTGGGACTTTAAAGATCCCCAATGGTGAAGGCCAAACCTCAGACAGTGTATTCCCAGAATAAGCACATGGGCCAAATTGAGTCTCCCAAGGCTACTTGTATTTGCTGATGTTACAGGGGGGAGGGTGCAGTCATAAGCCTTGGGCCTCTTACGCCCTGTACCTTATTGTATTGTAATTATCTAACTTATCTCCAAAAAATTACAAAGTGCCCTAGTTGTAATGTTTTCCTAGTGGTTGCCATATGTCTTGTGTACTATTTACCCAATTCTTTTCAAAATCAAAGGGGGGTTGTTTTTGATAATGTGAGGTCAAAGGTAATCAACATGACCTTAATGAATGATAACTTTTTAGCATTCACCAAAATGTATCAACACCAATGGAAAGGGCTGGAAAAGAACTAAGAAATGAAGCTAAGATGAGCTCCCTAGCTTAATTAGTACAGAAACTTCAAGGAGGAGACTGAATAAGGGTCCAAGAATGAGGCATTTCATTCTCAAATTTTGTGACCTCATACCAAAGAAACCAGGGATATAAAGAACTCAATATTTGGTTTGGGTTAGATTCTTACCATTGTTGATAGGTACACCAAATTTCATCCAAATCAGAAGGAGTCACCTGAAAAATGTCCCACCAGTGTGTTGATTTGACACAGAATGATCCTTAGCTCAAGAAAAGGATGGATGGGAAGAGAGGGTGGGAAATAAATAATGGTTTCAATGGTAAAGAAGCTGTTGAATTGTTTAGTGTCATTGTGCCAAAAGCTTTGGAAAGCTTCACCAAAATATGAACCATTTTCCTTGCATTGTACCTGTGGTTTGCCCATAGGCTCGCCTGTTGATGAAGAGTTATGCATTTGTTCGAGGGAACATTCCTCGTGTCCTGCAGCATCATGCAGCAAACAAGGAGGAGAAGTCTGTTCCCTGTCCTGCATTTCATCAGTTCCTCTATTTCCTCTTTGCTCCAACTCTTGTCTACAGGGATTCTTATCCAAGGTTTGTTCCTGCATTTTTTTGGCATCTTCATGCATCAGTAAGGTTCATCTCTTGCTTTCACTTGTTTTTATTTTTATTTTTTGCTGGATAGGACAAAGGAGATCCAGTGGAAATTTGTGTTTAGCAATTTTGTCATCGTACTTGCCTGTGTCTGCTGCATCTACTTTGTGTGTGTCCGTTACACCCTGCCCGTGTGGGGACATTTTGGTCAAGAACCTGTCTCCATTCGCTCGATCTTCCTCTCTATCTTTGCTGTCATGATTCCTAGCACTCTCATGGCTCTAGCCAGCTGGTTTTGTCTTCTCCACGCGTGGCAAAATGCATTCGCTGAGATGCTTCGCTTTGCCGATAGAATGTTTTATAAGGTGAGGTTCAAATCTTAGATGCCAGAAATCAACTGCTCAATATCTGCTTCACAATGTTATCTGTTTCTTCATCAGGACTGGTGGAACTCTGGCTCGTATGCACGGTATTACCGGACGTGGAACATCGTGGTCCACGATTGGTTGTATGAGTACATCTACAAGGACCTCTATGAATCAGGCTGGTTCAAGAACCGTGCCATCCCCATGATGGCTGTTTTTGGTGTCTCCGCAATCGTTCACGAATACATCCTGGCTGTCGTCTTTCGTTTCTTCTTTCCCGTCCTCCTCATCATGTTTGGCTTTTTTGGAGGTGAGGCTAAGGAGAGAAGGTTCTGTGGAAGAATTGTATAGGGTGTCCCAGAACACCTGTCACATTTTGAAGCGGAGTACTCAATCAAATGTTTGAAACATTTTTCAAAATGGGATGCTCAAGTTTCAAAATAATTTTGACATTAATTGCCTGAAATGAAGAAACAAGGCAAGAACACATCAGTACTGTCACAAATGAAACAGTTATGGGAGAAAGATCTAGAAGAATAAAATAAATCAATTAGTGCTACAAGTGACTGGAATTCTGGGACACCTGTATATTTATGATGGGAAGTAGAGACTCATTGGGTATTATATCTTGTAGGGGGTTTGATGTTCTTGCCGAGATGGGAGGGGTCTCGGGCATGGAATGTTTTTCTCTGGGCCTCATTTTCCATTGGTGTTGGGACACAGTTCAGCTTTTACAGCATGGAGTGGTACTCTCGCATCAACTGTCCTCAGTACTACCAGGTCTGTTTGTATTCATTTTTTACTTTAAATTGGCACAGAGCCAAGCTTGGTACAAATTTTCCATCCTGATCTATAGGAATGGTATCTGGATATGCTAGTCCCAAGGTGTCTGACCTGTCATTTGGATCGAGATTGGGGTAACAACTCACTTTTCTCCATCAACAAGGCTCCTGTCCATTCTGAATTGTGATCAGGAAGGCAAGAGGCTCAAAACCAGTCACTCAATGCACTGAGTAAATTTTCAGCGCAATATATCCTGGTCACCTTCTAGGTTTAGTTGTTTTTGTATTTTTTTCTTTGCCTTTGTCCAACAGGGTAAGTATTCACCTGCCCCAGCTCAATTTTTTAGTTTCTTTTTTTTTTGTATTTTGTGAAAACTGGGGCCAGAACAGGTAGTGTTTTGCTATCTCATACATTCTTTTATATCATGGAGTCTTGAAGATGTTTTCACTCACTGCACTTCATTCCTCAGAGTTAGTGTGGTTGATTACTCATGGATCCTGTGATTCTAGTTGGGATGAAATTATACTATATATCAGAGTGATACGGCTGAATGGTGCTCTCAGGTATGGGTACTCCGTTCGACTTGAGATGTGTGTATTTTATCGTAGAAATCTATAGCATTTCCAGGGCATCAATAATGCATTCAGAAGCTTACATGCTCTGCTGTACATGTGATCATTCTCAAGTTAATGAGATTTTATTGATTGATAAGGGTCTTGTGATTGTGATATCAATCAACTGCATTTCATTTGGAAAGTATAGAGATGCTATGTGGATCAGTGCAATGTGGCTCTCAAGTATTCTGGTCAGTATATTGCCAAGTATAAATGGATCAACTCTCTCTTTTCTGCAACCTCTGGTTTTGTTCTTTGTAGACCTAATATGTTTTTGCTACAATGTCTGTGCAATGTTCACGTTTTTCTTTGTGGTTCCTTAGAGTTGAAGTTGGTTGTGGGAATGGGAAATTTTCAATTTCCTTGACTTTGTCTCATTCAGGAAGACATTGTCAAAAGCTACTCAATCACTGAACACATTGAATAATATCATTGCTGCATCGTTACTACATTACTATTATATAATATCATAACATATCATTGAACAAAATCATTACCACTTTTACTTTATGGCCTTAGGTCAGTCGTCTTGATGCCGCTCAGACCAAGCTTCCATTCATTTTTTTCATGTGATCCTAATTTTCCAACTTCATCTCTAAGGAATCAAATGTTTCACTAGATCCACTGGTACTTATGCATCATTATCATTTCTGCAACCTGTTACCATTCCAGGCAATGTGATGAAATTTTCAGGCAATACTCATTCCTTCACATTGACCCTGAATATTGATTTTTTTAAATAAGAAATGCATCATATTATTACACAACTTTTTTGCGTTTTGTATATCTTTGAAAAATATATGTTCATGACGTATATTGGAGGAGAAGCATGAAATCTCATTCAGAGATGCAAGCATGAGAGATTCATTCCTTCTTGGCCAGCCAGATGTCACTGGTGCAATCTCCACCTGGGTATCTGAAGTGTAAAAACAAAAAAAGGAAACGTCCTCAATGGATCTGTGGGAGTGCTCTCAATTTAAATGAAGTTCAGAATTGGCCTACCTGATCTCGTGAGCCAAGACGGGTCCATCTGGTTCTTGTCCGAAGTCGACCAGGAAGTCTGGATTCACCGTCAAACCTCCGTTCTCTGTATCCACGTCGATCTGTAGCATTACTGATCCTTTCCTGAACGGACGACCCTATCGATGGTGAGAAACGAATGAACGAAAAAGGAGAGATGAGAACGGAGTACGTACTCGAGCATGTCGGGGTAGAACTGGGCGTCCCAGGCGCTGAAGAGAGACGTGGTCAAATACAACCTCTTGCCGTCCAGGCTCAGCTGTATCATCTGAGGTCCACCTTCCACCTCCACCCCCTTGACCGTCAGCTTCTCTGGCTGCTCCTGGTAGATGAAGGCACCAGCTTTCCCATGCATCGTCGGTCACTCGTTGGCCACCGCCAACATCGTCAGGGATCGTACAATGGGCTCACCCTTCCTTCGGGATCGTGGACGAGAGTGACCGGGCCTCCCTTGACGAGGGCACCGGATACGAAGACCTGACCGACGAGCTTGGGGTGTGCCCTGTCCGTGATGTCGTATTGACGGATGTCTCCTTGCAGCCAGTTGCTGAAGTACAGATAACGATCGTCCAGCGAGATGAGGATGTCCGTGATCAGCCCTGGAGATAGCATTCGGTCGATCGTGGCCCAGAGAGACAAAAATAAATAAATAAATAAAACGGGAAAATGATCACCTGGCATCTCCGGGAGAGCCCATCCCGCAACGGTCTTGGGTCGAACCTGGATCACCTTCTCTGCCTCCCACTCCCCCGATTCCCCCTTGAAAAATCTACGGGCGTTTTTTGTTTAATTTTTAACCCACCGAACACACCCACCCCACCCGCCAGAACCCCCCTCACCTAAAGACAGAAGACGAAAGCGCACATCCGACGAACCCCTGCGCCTCCTTCGGATCGTGCAGGAACCTGACCTCCAGAGGAATCTTTCCATCCTCCCCCAAGTCGATGCTCTGCTTGAGAACCCTTTCCTCCCAGTCCCACACGTTCAGGCGCCTGCCATACAGACCTGCAACGGGAAGCGATGCCGATCGTCCGATCTGCCGAGAGCGAGAATAAAAATGTAAAAAAACGCGGAACGATGAAAAATACCTTCCTGGAGATGAGAGAGTTGGAACCCGGTTCGGAACGCCTTGGGTGCCCCCCATTCCGTGGATATCATGACGTTATGGTAAGGTTGATACCAGAAGTCGTAACCCATGGGGGCTGTTTGATCGTCCTTGGGCCAGGTCCCTGAACGAAATTCATTTTTATTCGGCAACGCAGGACGAATAGGGGCACACCTCCTCCCCAATTTTCCGGGTGAGGGTGCTGTGTACCTTTATCCATATAATTTTTCCCCGATGCATATCTATGTCTAGCGGAGCGGATCTCGCCCCCCCCCCCCTCCCCTCCTCTCCCCTCCCGTCTCGTATGAAGGGCGTTCAGGGCCATTTGCTCCTTTTTCCTGATCTGGGACGTCCCTTCTCCCTTCGCATGTGACTGCACGCTACCATAAATCATCGACATCAGTGTGTCGTGGATGAATCCATGTCGTCTGCTTTCCCTTCGGATCCGTACGGCGACAGCCTCAAGGGTAAAGGGACACTCTCGGTTTTCCTTTCGTCTGTTGACAGAATCTCACAGCGATCCCGTTACGGCATTTGTCACTGGTAATGATCCTACAGACCCAGTCTCGTCTCGAACCAGATCCCCCCCCCCCCCTCCCCTTTCTCCCGACATTTCTCTGGTTTTTTTTTCACTTGTTTTTCCTCGGGACGGCGAAGATCCTTCCGTTCGTCGTCGTCGCAAACGCAACCCACTCGAAACTGCATATCGTGCTTTTATTTCCCCCGTAATTTTCCCCCCATCGACGGAGGGAGACGAGAATCGAACCTTTGAATTGGAACGTCTTGGCATCGAGGAGGACGAAAGACCCCCTGGCGTCTCCTTCGGCGTTCCCCATCGTGGAGATCATGATCTCCCCGCTGGCCAAGCAGTGCGACGTGTGAGGCGCCCCGCAGTCCACGGCGTGCATCTCCTCCGGCTCCACGACCGCCGCGAGCCTGGGCTCGCGAGGCTCCGACACGTTCACGACGTAGATGCGATCCGAGTTGAGGCAGGGGAGGACGAGATGCGAGCGGCGGACGGTGGGATCGCAGTGGCAGGAGCTGCACGCGTCCCAGCCGGAATGATGGAGTTCGTCGCGGGGATTGGGCACGTGGAGGCGGTGGACGACGCGGAGACGGGTGGGACTCGAGGGGTCCACGTCCACGGTGGCCAGGTAGTCGTGCTTCCCGGGGGATCGCTGGATGCAGGGGACGTAGAGGAGGCGCTCGCGGGGACCGGACATCGCGGCGAGCGGGCTGGGGTACCCGGGGCCCGTGCAGGACTCTGGAAATCGGAGAACGCAATCGTCGCGATGGCTCCGCGACACCCGATCCGCGAGGAACGCCCTGCGGATCGGGTCGCGTCGGTTCCGAGGGGACGTCTCGCTGCATCCGTCCTATTTATCTATCTCCCCCATCTGGATATTTATTTTCGTTCCTTCTCGGGGGGGGGGGGTAACGAGGAAAAAATTTCCAGTCCGATGCACGGCCTGGGAAAAGAAAGTGTCACGAATCGTAACGAAAGCAAACGGTACAAACACTTTCATTCCCTGCAATTTACTCGTTCCCGATTCGTTCGTCGTCCGGAACGACTCCGTGAAATCGCCAGACTCCGCGATTTCCGAGTTCGTGAAGAATTGAGCGTGTCCCCTCCGGACCTTGAGCTTTCGAGGCTGACCTCGACGCCTGATGCATGGTCTCTCCCCCCCCCGGCCGCACCCAGTGTCCTCGTGCATCATGGAGGCATCATGCATGAGGCGTAATGGCGAGAGACTCCATCCAGAAAAAAATAAACACACAAAAAAATCGATGCGATAGGGGGACGAGCCGTCGGGTCGATTTCGTCATCGTTTCTGTCCCGAAAATTAAGGAATCCGCTCGAAAAAGCGGATCGATGAACGGTTCGAGAGTGGCGATAGTTATCGTTATCTGGGTCGAGCGGCCGTCGGATTCGCAAATCGAGAAGGCTCGTGCAATAATTAACAAAACGAACAAGAAGCAACGACGACCGCGCTGGAATTTTTTTGAGGCTTCGAACCGGCCGCAATCCGCCGCCGACGAAATCCCCAGGAAATTCACTTCCCAGGTTTCGCGATCGGATCATAGGCCAAAAAAAAAGGCCAGAAGCAGTACTCACTAACTCCCTGTGACATCTTCGTCTATGGCTTCACTCTGCAATGACAGACTCCACCGTCACCAGCCACACACAGACTGCCTCTTGCCTCGTGTCCCAAGGCCGTCAGTCTGTTCATCCCGGCCGTGACCGCGAGGGATCGTCTCATCCATAACCATCCGGCGCTAGGGGTCCCCCCCCCCTCCCCCCGGCGTATAGTGACACGTGTGGGTCGGAAGAACGCGGAATGCGAAGGTCGAGGTCGACGCCGAGGCCGTGCCCGGTCGCCCCCGACACCTATCGGATCTCTCAAAAACCGATCGGTCCCCCCCTCGAGCGATAGATGTCTCTGCCGCGAGCACGATTCGAGGCAGTTGTCATTCAAAATGGAAACCCCCGCTTGCATGAGGAGCAGTTGCGAGTCCGAGCCGTGCTTGCGCGCAGAGGTGCAGACGGGAGCGGTCTTATCAATCCCACCCGAGTTCCCTCTCGTTTTTTCGTATTCCTAAGGAGTCTCATTCCCCCCCTCGCCCTCCTCCCGTTCGGCTACCGAGATAGCACACGCTGTGATAATGAATTTGTTTTGAATCGTTATCTTAGGCGTAGGCTAAGCGTGCCCCTCTCTTTGAATATTGCTTAGGCCTAAGGTACGCCTAGCTTAAGTTAGTCATATCGTACGCGATGCGTGCAGTTAACCGTGGGTGTAGGCCAACGATATTGCGAATTTAAATAGCTTCAATTTTCACACGGTTGAGTGACTTCGCATCTTCACGCCTCTTTTTAATAGAATTATTGTAACCGTTTCCATTCAAGGAAGTTAACAATGCAGGCATTGATCTGGGAATTGGCCATGCTGTCGGTTTGTAAGTGTCTGAAACCAAATCAAAGTTCATTTTGATCATAAGCATGTGCATCATGGAAGCCTTACCTGAGGTTGAAAATGTGATTAAGTGTTAACTCAGATATTAATTGCAGGCCTATGGTAACCCACTCTTTAGAAACATGCACATTGAATTTCCAATTACTTTAGTCTAAAGACAAGTAAAATTTAACAAAAAATAGGTAAAATTGCTATAATTTGTGAATTAGGCCTGCAGAATTATTCAGAAATAATAATCATCACATCCTTAAATAATTAGTTTTTTTTTAAGCATAATAAAGTGAGCTTGATCTAGGTAGTTTAATGCAAGCTTTACCTAGGTGTAACTTTCAGGCCCTGAACCGCTTCGGATGCGTACCGGTCCGTGGAAGGTGTACGGGTGGCATCGAGGTTGGAAAGTATACATTTTTGTTATGGTAGCATCCAATCATTACTTAAGTGAAAAGAGGGTGAAGGGCTCATGCAACCATTCCCTGAAGGCATTTATCAGTGAGAGAGGACAGACTAGTGCTGACAGCCTGAGGGGGAAAAGTGACAAGAACAAAAAAACTAATATGGAAAGGTTATTTTGTCTTATGTAAAGCTTTTTTTTTAATTCCTGCATAAGATTTCCATTAATGCATGCCCTTAAAGGACGGCCGGAGCCGGTTCGGACGAGAGTCGAGAGCGACCTCACCGAGCGTCCGGTCCTGCTCGTTCGGCAAGTTTGTACGGGAGTGGAGGTGTGAAAGGACGACAGGGACCCATGCCGACGGCAAGAGTCCTTTGTGTAGGGGGCGATTGGAACCGAGGATGATGCGAGAGGAATTTTCATTCGAGTCCTCGTGGATTACGATGCAAGGTCGAGGTATAGGGTTGTTATTGCCAATTCATGGAGTACTGATAGGTGGATTACAAGTATTTACTCATTCAATCTTGGCTTTGAGTGGGTAAATAAGAATTATAAACTGTGACATCAGAATAAACTCTGAAAGAACTCAAAATTTCCACAGAGTCGTGCGCAATCGGTACGTCGGGCGTGAAGACGTTCGAGGAGTGCTTGGCTTTTGTCCATGAAAATGATGGAAAAGAGGAATCTTAATGAGGGTCAGTGACCAAAATGTCTCCTACCTGGTTACTTTATATTCACTTGCATCCGACCACATGCGTTGCAGTGATCTTTCTGTTTCTTCCCAAGAGGCAGAAATTAACAGAGAAAATGCATTAGACTCATTTAGGAAATAAGCCAAGGCTGTAGGTTATTCGACGCTCTCGAGATAAGGTCATCATTGGATTGCAGTACTTAAGAAATCGGCCTTCGGGGGAACTTGGGAAACGGCTAATTGCCTTCCTCACGAAGCCCTCCCCTCGTTCCCAGACGTGAGCGATTCCCGCGATTCTCTCTTGCAGGACGTGGATGCCCCGCGATGGACCCCTCGCCCCAGCGGGTCACGGGGTAGTCGCCCCGGCGGGCCACGTGGTCTTCGCCCCGCGACCGCATCCGACCGAGCGAATGCGCGTTCCCGGTGCCTCCGCCTGCGTCGACGCGATCGAGCCGCGCGGCACCGCGAACATGAAGGTGGTCGTGTGCTTCGGGCCCGTGAAAGTCGTGGTCCCCTGCCGGAACGGGAGCATGCTGGTGCAGGATCTCATCAACGAAGCCGTCCGTCGGTACAAGAAAGCCACCAACAAGGTAAGCACCGACGATCGCGAACGCGCGGGGCCGATCCGAGTCCGACTGCGATCGCTTTCACCGCCGCACCCTTCGCATCCGCGACGGTTCGATTCGAAGCGTGCGCGAGAACAGAGGTGATGATGTCGACGATACGGGGCATTGTTCATCGAGGGCCATTACTCAGCGGAAAGGAAGTCGATACCCCGGTGACTTCATCGACTTTCGCTTCGCGGGTCGACGTGGCCCGATTCGCGTCGGGGGGGATGGAATCCTCGGAATGCGATTCCGACTCGGACGCGGGAGTCGCCCGTTCGCGGATCCGATCGATCTACGGTTAGCGGGTCGAGTCGATCGGTCTTCGGTTCGTGATGGGACCGAGAGTGCGGGGCCGGGGGGCCTGGCCACGGTTCGGGTAACAAGGCTGGATTTTCTCGCTTTTTTTTTCTTCTTCTTTCTCTCTCGCGTGAGAGGCGGTTGATCATGTCGGAAAGGGAATGGGAAATGCTGGCGTCTCGCATCACCGGTGAAGGGGATTCACCCGTCCCGTCGGCGTGCCTTCCTCCGAGGGATTATTATTCAGGGTATGTTCCGGGGGGAGGGGGGGGGGGGTGATGTAACCCCGGATGACAAGTAGGTCAAAAGCGAAGAGATGCAGGAGTGAGAAGGGAGTGAAGGACCTGATCCTTGTCACTTATTTTTTTTTTTCGAGGAGTGTCGCCCCCTCGAGGTGGTTGCACGTGGGAGAGGTCGCCCGGAGAGACAAACCACAGAAAATGGATTATGATGGCCTTTTGCGTTCTCGCTTTTGTCTCTCCTCGACGTGTGTGCGGAAAAAAAAATCGTTTCGAACGTCCGCGAGGCCCACGCGCGATCCCCGTCCGCCCACTCGCGAGATCTCGATCGGACGTCAACCCATTGTATGGAGATCCTCGTGCCTCGTGGGCCCTCGTGCCTCGTGGGCCCTCGTGCCGCGAGCGGATCCTCGTGCCGTCTCGACGAACGGGCTCGGACGCCATCGGGAGCGTTGGGATAATCGATGACGGGGTCGGGACGGGCTTCTCACGGCCCAGGATCGTCTCGAATGTCGACGGTGGGAAGAGAGAAAAAGAGAGAGAGGGGGGAAACGCGGAACGAAAAGCCAAACAGAAAAACAAAGGAGAATGGGGGAAGACGGGGGAAGAAGGAAGGAAGCGCATCGGAGCGTGGCCGCTCCGTCGGGCCTACTACCGTACTGGCACACGAGGGGCCTCGGATCCGTCCGTTCGCCCTCATCCTCGTTCCTACCCTTTCTTTCGCCGCGGCATCACCGGTCCGGTCCAGAAGTGGAAAACGCATTCTCTCTATCTCTCTCGTGGAACAGTTCCAACCGTTCCGTCGAGGAATAAAAAAAAAAAAAAAGGAGAAGGGGTGCGCGGGGAAGGC